TCTTGGATCTAGTTTAGCAGTTTTGTTCTAAAGAGATAAGTCCACATCATGATCAATGGGACCATAAAACTCCTGATGCAGTTTGCAACCTCTCCCCATGGGTTTTCGAAACATGATGAAACTCAACAAACTATTAAACAAAAGGGGGGAAGAAAAAAAAAAAAAGCATTACTTTAATTTACACTGTGATACATTCAGAATTCTTTCTAGTCAAATCTTCTTTTTGATCTGCCCAATTAAATCAGCCTCTCAACAATACACCAAATCCCCCATTTCTTGTACATTTTCCTCGTCTTTGGACATGAAGAAAATCTGAAGAAACCACATATTCCCTCTGGAGTTCACTTCCCTCAATCTAACACTTCACATTTCTCAACTGTGGCATCTTCACATCGACACCACAAACACCCCAACTGCAGTCAGTGAGACTGACTATGAAGAAATCATTGACTTGAGCACAGACACCAGAACATAGTCCAAATTTCTTAAGTCTATCAAATGTCCATTTTATCTCCTAAACATGAACAAAATTGCATTTTTCATTAGTACACTGAAGCCGAGAATTCAGTCTCAATAGATGTTCAGTGGAAGAAAACTGTAAAAAGTACAAAACAGGATGCAATGAAATATAAATATAACAGCATCATTTGTTTTCAAGGAAAAAAACCCTTCTCTCCTTACTTTGTGGGCACATGGCAAAACTAGTATTATTTATCTAAACTCTTGAGAAAGCTTGAAGTGACACTTCATAATTACAGTATAGTTCAGCTCAGAGACAAAGTGAAGAAAAGAAACTTCCCTACAATTTATATAAACTTCCTCCTTGTTCCTCCACGTACCAGTTGCATTTGTATTGCTATTCCACTTTGTCATAAACACAGTCACCTTGTAACCCTTTTTATCAAGCAATCTACGCACTACCTAAAAGTACACTACACTCCATCAGACAAGCTATAGGTTTACATTATACAAACATTCCCATTCTGCCTGCTCAGCGCAGGTTGTCAATAAATGCAAGCAATTGCAAAACACCAATGTGTGTTTTTTTCCTTAAGAGAACACTGATACGAGCCTGCCAGTTCTGCAAAATAAACTCTTTGCAATCTCTGCAGCTAATCTGTCAACAAATTACTATTGAAGTCATACCTCCTAAAAGTTCAAAAGCATTCTGTATTAGACAAAAGTACTGAGTTTTATACTCGTGGGGCAGTACTTGAAGTTACGGTATCAAAGTGGATCCTGCTATTGATGTGGAGAGGTTTGTATTTCTGTCACCATGCAATACAGCATTTGGTGTCTTGCTGCTATATATCGAAATTCAACTTTGTATTCATTCGCTTTGTTCAGTTCATATTCTTGTTTCTCTGCTAATAATGCGAAGAACACTTTAATGAGTGGTCCTGAGGATAAAAATAAAACACAATAAATAATATTTATTTTATAAGCTAAGAAAAAAAAAAAAAAAAAACAACTGACTAGGACTGAAGCATCAAACCTTCTATTTTAGAAGACGTCAGAAACCACTGAAGCAACTAAAGCTGTGATCATGTACATTAAAAGACAGTTTGTCCCCATGAGTCTTTATTTATTACTCTTTGGTAGGCAGGAGTCACCCCATCATTACATACTTTCTGTCCAAGCTTCTCTCGCCCAGCCTGACTTTCAGCTTGTGGGTCACTCCGACACCCATTCTGCACCTCCCAGATGTTTTCTGTGATGTCTCAGAGGCAACAGATGTTGCCAAACTCTGCCTGGTACCCTGCTCCCAGGGTTTCTGCCCCATCCCTTGGTCCTGCCTCTGCGGGGAACCTTGGAGCAAGCTCCTGAGCCCCACTGCTCATCTCTTTAGGAAGCCCAATGACCCAGGTCACCTTCACGCCTACTCCAGCTTTTACAGGCAGGTCAGCAAAACTCTGCCCATTCCACCTCGTCCCACCAGTCATTCCTGCGAGATGCCAACCACCGGCACCTGCGGAGTCAGCAGCAGCGGGAAGGCAACCTCTCCCACCTTCAGCAGGTGCCAAAATACCACGGGAAAGGGTTTTCCTTCCCTTTCAGTCTGGTTCTGGGCGCAATTTCTCCTATACGTATCTCCATTTTTATCCAGCTCTTCCACAGATGTACTATCCCTGAAGAGTCACTTGTACTGCTTTGGCTTTCTTAATTCACAGTTACAAATATAAACATCAGTTGGAGATATTTTGTGTTTGTTATACACAGAAGAAGTCATCCCCACATTTTCTATTCTCATTTTAACAGTACATTTTACAAGATTACTAATGCTACAATAATCTAGCATCACATCACTCTGTCTCCCTGCATGGCAGAATCACCCTAACATGACATGAGAAGCGTAAAACTTGTTCCACGCACCCTCCCTGCACTTACTACAAGACTGCTCACACCGTACACTGTTCCTTCAAACGTACGAACATCTGCGGTGCTCCATATTTTTTCACAGTAAAATATTTACGAGTTTGTAAACCCATTAAAACTTCCTAAAAAGTGAAGCATTTCTGTCTTCCTCTCTCATACTAGTCCTTATAAATTCATAAATTTCGCCAAAAAATGTGAACCAAAATTCAGCACAGATGCTTCAGACAAGCCATTGTATGTCCAGGTTTCACCGCTCAGCCACGCTCATCACGGGAATATGCAACTAACCACAACAGCAAAGCTCAAACTACCCGCCACTGATTTTTTTTTTTTTTCAGACAAAACAAGTGCCAGGTGGCAAAATGAAAAGATCTGAATGAAATGCTCTTAAGAAATAGCTGTTTAATTCAGAACTCGTTCATTTGTATTGAAGAAGCGTTTTGTAGAACGCATTCTGTTAAGTGACCTGAGAGCATATGTTGTATACAGAGAAACATCTAAACATTATGCTCCATGTTGTATGTGTATCTGTAAATGCTTGCATTAGCTGTCTGAAAACAACGGGTTTTTCTTCTTTTCAGCATTTAAAAATATTTTCCAAACACAAAGATTGATATTTTTATGCTAGCTCTGATTACCCTCTTGTTGTTATCGGGCCTTTCTTTTTTTTTTTTTTTTTTTTAATAACTGTTTTAAACTTCGCAATCAACTTGCTTTTTAAAAGAGAAACTCCATGGAGAAGTTAGTCATCAAAACCAATTAACAGCAAAATTCAAACACAGAACATAAAGGTCTTTTAAGAACCTGGAGAAAAGCAAGCTCCCCGACAACGTTTATGGTACTGGCAGAGGATAAATAAACTATAAGCTAAAATCTGAGCTGTGTGAAAGCAATCCCGAGCCTGGCAATCCTGCCCCCAGCTCCCACGGGGGCTGGCAGCACTCGTAGTTGTGCCGGGCACTGTCTGCGGGAGGGCTGGAGGACCCACGCAGGAGTGAATTGGTGCTGCTCCCTAGTTGACCGAATGGGCGGCTGTCGAATGACACAACCCATCACGCGCGAGATTACGACGTTATCTAAGGCGGCGTGAGCCCTCCGGACGGCTACGGAGAAGCCCTGGCACGGGGCAGCGAGGGTCAGTAACTGGTGGTGGGAGCGGAGGAGCAGAGGTCTGAGCAATTCTGGACTGTGGTGTGCACGTGTTTGCCTGACCCCCCCCCCCCCCCCTCCTCTGCTTCCCTCTGCACAAAGCAGCGTTAGAAAATTCCACAGCGCTCCTATGGAAAACGCAGCGTAATTAACTCATTTTGATACGAAGCCTTTTTAAGACGAGACCTTTGTGTTGAACATATTTTACTGTTCCACTCCTCTTCTACTGTCCTATATTAATCAAAGCTGTAACCCCTGTTGTCTTTGCACTGCGAATCAGAATGTGCCCCTGGCGAAGAATGAGGGAAAAGTCAACAGGAATTAAGTTTCAGTGCAACTGTTTACTCAACTGTGGCCTGCAGTTATTGAAATTTTATCCGTGGTTTTGTGTGACTACTGCAGTAATGAATTCAGCATGGCTGTGATTTTCTCACTGATGGTATTCTCACTTCAAGTAAAAACCTGTAGGATGAAAACGATTGAAACAACCGAAGTCTATGCATTTAGTAACATCCATTTTTCTGACTTGTTTAATTATGGCAGCTTTCTGTCTCAGGCTGGCAAATGGGGGCCCCTGCTCCTCCACAAGCCTTTGGTTTGCTTTGTTTTTGAGTGCAGGTTTTTTCTTCTCCACAACAACCTGCTAAAAAGATCACTGTACACTTAGGGGAGTCTTAACCAGCTGCCAATCGCTTACTTAAAAGGTTTTAAGAATGCTTATTGCATTAGAGAAAGTGCGGGCTAGGCATGCATGTATTCACCATGGCTCTGCTGCAGCCTTTGTTCCCAAACACATTAACGATACATGCCCAGCACTTTGGTGTAAAATTTCCTCGGAAGGTTTCAAAATTTTATCAGGGAAAAGAAAAAGACAAAACGTATTATGAAGATAATTTACATTGGTGAACTTGGTCACTTCCCAGAAAATACACTAATTAAAATACAAAGGCAAAACGCACCATTTGGTTCAGATTCTTCTGCATTGAGGAGTACTGACACGGGATGTATTTATTTATTTATTCTGACGTTTTGCCACAGCAGATACCTCTGCAGCCTTTCTCACTAATAGAAAACATTCTGTTGATAGAGGTTGCTAGGTTATATTAAAATTTGCTGCAAAAACAAAACTTAGCGTTAGTGTATTTTCCACCCAGTGACATATTTTGGAAGCCAGTTATTTGTATACAGCGGTTCACCCAAACGCTGCCACCAGACTCAACACATTCAGGCAACGGAAGCAAGCCCTGATCTTTGGGTATTTCCAGGGAATGATTAAAAAGGAGCCCCGGAAGAAAAGTCCAACGTTTCCCTTGACATTAGCGGCTGCAATCCCCTACGGACTAAAATGTACAGAATGTCATAGGCAAGTCCTAGAAGCATCCTCTGACTGGCAAATATGAAGGGTTTGGGCGGGGGGAGTTAAATGCTTCATGCTTTTTCTGTAAGTAGGAAACTTGCAAGATGTCTTACAGTACCTGCTGTTGCTGAAGATGTGCTAAATCTGCAGCCCCAATTTCAACTGAAGGTGTCTCGCCGTTTGATCTCACTTCCCGCAGGCTGCACTCTAGTAAATGGTTGCCACCGCTCGCTCCATTCTGAATGGCTGAACCGTTACTTTTTGTCTCAGTCCCAGATTCTTGCATCATGACTCAAAAACCTGAAATAATTTAGGGGAGGGGAGAAAAAAAAAAAAAAAAAAAAAAAAAAGCAGCTGTTAAAACAGTTGCTGTATGTAAGGAGACATGCCCTGTTTTAAATCCTGCCAAAACTGTAAACATTTGTCATTTCCCTTCATACGATTTATCTTTCATTAATGGTTCATGCTACTAGTTTATGTTTATTTATCTGTTAGTACTGCTGTAATTTTAGTAAGTTAGTTCTGTTCTAAATATAGTATTATTTGCTCAACATCTTTTTTCCCTTAGAGAAAAAAAAAAAATATTTTTGAACGAACACACAGAATCCATAACTAAATTTCTCTAGTTGCATCTGGATGCTTTCCTTTGAAAGGGATGAGTCATTCTTTGCAACATATGATGGACAATATCAAAATCTTGATAGACACTACGTAGGGGCAGGTAGGCGAAGCAGAGCATTCACTGTTTCGGTGTCCATTCACCCCATGATATTGCCAAATTAGCACCTTTTATTACTCTGAAGCAATTTAGGCTGCGTCTGGGATGTGCTGGACACCATTAGTTTTTGTCTGGGGCAAAGTGCTTCAACTGCTCACAGAATTAGTCTTTCTGGCAAATTTCTTGGCTCTGGATTTTTGGATGCACTACAGCATTACAGTGAAGAGCCTCCTGCGTTAGCTGGCTAAACATCATCTCAGTAGCCACAGCTCCTCACAGCCAGCCCTCTCGACCCTCGGCAGATGCCTGTCCCGGGGTGCTTGACAGCGCTGCCCTCCCCAATAACAGCAGTGGGTCACACACCGGCCCCACAGCGAGGATGAGCACGATGATGATGCCCTCTTGCTTACGCCGGAGCTCCTGGGATTCCTACATCTTTGGGAATTGACTGGCAGAAAAAGACCCCCCCCAAAACAAATCACACATACCAGTTTTCAGCAGCAAATTGCTACCTTTGAGACCTTTCGATGGGTCGTTTCATAGATATTTACACCTGCAAGGCCCTGAGTTCCAGGATTTAAATGTTATTAACCTGCTCTGCTTCCACCAGCCCATCCCTCCCTAACTCCGTGCTCCTCCTCTCACTCTTACCCAGGAAAAGGGAGCATGGTAAGCCAAACTGCACGCCCCGAGCACGCCGCCTGCCTCCACGCTAACTCACCACGTGCACGGGCGAGGCAAATGTCTCCGTGCAGCGCAGGTCAGCTTGGAAGTAAGATGCTTTATATTTAAGGGAGAACCTGTTTGAATTCAATAACTACCCTGATTCAGAAGGAAGATGAAAAATCCTCTCGCTTCCAACATGGAAGGGAAAATATCAATCAGAAAGGGAGAGAGAACTCAATGCATTTCAAGGGAAAAATACCAGGGGAAAACCCTTTCCCTGGGAACTCCACATGTGCGGAATTCAGAGCCCCTGGCCATTGAAGGTGTGGAACTGGCTGGAGGCAGCAATTCCTCCTGCCAGCGCCGGCTGCCCGGGTCTCTGCTGGTCCTAGGTGCCACTCAGCGTCAGACCCCGTGCGCAGAGATCCGCTCCAGCCCGACGCACCGAACACCAGACCTCTCACTCACTTGGCAGCTTCAGCCGTTCGTAACGATGATCCACAGGGCCGATAATCAAAACGTCATCCCCGAGGAGGAGCTGACTAACGAGGGCTTTGTCACCACCACGCTCCGGCGTTAGCACTGCTCGCTGGTTCACGTCCGAGGCGGGTGAACCGCTCATTAGCCGGACCCCGCTCCAATCGTGACGGGATCTATTCACGCTGACGGTCGCACAAGCACATGGACCGTGCTAGGACAGATTCAAATGTTCTGATTACATTTAAATAAATTTCAGCTGGTCTATGGAAACTTCTTTCAATCTGTTTTGTGAAATCTTCAAATTATGCAAGGGGACAAAAGGGCTTGGGGGGCTCATTATAAAGCTTCTGTCAACTCCCTTGTAAAAGCTCCAGAGATCTAAACAAACCTACAGCTTTCCCAATGCCACTAGCAAATGCTTTTGGGTTTTAACATGATCCTGCTCCGACACAGACTGAGCACGGTGTGTTTTTCATTTTCAGCACTATAAGAAAATCCCAGAAGCATGATAAGGTCTAAATAAGTGTTTACATCTAACAAGCAAGGCTGGATCACATTCCCGGCAGCGACTGCGTGGCACAGGTTGCTTCGGAAGAAGAGACAGGGGTGAGATTCTCCAGACAGCTCACAAGTTACTCAAAGGTATACCACGCAATTTTTACACGCTTCCAAAAAGAACACACCTCTCTTAACCAGAGATAAATCAAAAAGAAAGAACCGATGTAATTGTTTTCTGCTTCAATCTGAATTTGGGGTCAAGCCTCAACGGGTGAAAATGAAGCATTACATTAATTTACCTCAGCAGAAGATCTGGACAAGGATGACCACCCTGTAAGACCGGGTTAGCAGGTTAAACCCACTCATGTCTTTGACTGTTGTGATGCACGATAGCAAATGGTGGGTGGCATGTCACCACCACACCCGGCGGAGGAAGGACATACTAAGGAACTGGTGGAAGGTGCCTCCAGCAGACACCCCGGTGGAAAGAGATGCTAAAACCAATGTGCCGAAGCAGTAAAGAAGTACATTTCATTCTCCAACGCTTCTGATCCAACAAATTGACTGGAAGCGGGAACCTGGATAAACTACTAAGGAGGGTCAGAGAAAGCACCAGCCAAAGCTCCGAGATGTCTCTGACAGCAGCAAGAAAAATGTGCATCACTCAGGAGCAGATCTATCACTGCCTGATCACGATTTGTTGGCTGCCCTTCTGAGCGAAATATCTCTAGGACACAGAAAATAATTCACAACCAAACTGGTCAAGAAATTATTTATTGTCTCTAGGATTGCAAAATGCTCCTGGAAAGAAACAACAGTAGAAATTGCTACAGTTTTTCCAACCTATAGGACTGAGAAAAAGATGGATTGTTTACAGAATTTGGTCACAAAAAAGATCATAGTTCCTGAGAACCTTCTCCATGACAAATTTCCTGCTCTATTTTACCTTTCAAAGTACCCCCAGCCAGTTACCACCTGAGCTGCACGGGGCTGTCCCTGGCCCCTCCACTCGCTGTGCCCACCCCACACACCGTATCCAGCAGAATAGGCAGCAGCTACCAAGGAAATGGAGCTGGAAACAGAGTATGCAAAGAGAACATCAAAAGAGTAAGATGAAAAATGCGATGTTCGGACTCTCAAAAAATTATTTTAAAAGCAGAAGTGAACATCTTTGAGCAAATTTTGCTTTAAAAACACCTGTTCACAGGCAGTCAACTTCAATATAACTTCAACTGGACACGAATACAAAGAGAATCCACTTTCTAAAATTCCTCCAATAGAAAACAGGATTTTCAAGGAAGAAAAGATAAAACTGTTTATTTCTTCACTGTAGTCAAATGTGAGTTGACATAAATAATCACAGTTTAGTTTGATCATTAAATGTCATGTCATGAAAATCAACCTGTGAGAGCTTTCTGCAAGAATGTTTATTATTTGTCTTTTCGAGCACACCTAAATGAGCTGAGGTGATAGGACACTGAGGATGGCTGAGGTAACCATCTCTCCTCACAACGCAGAGGAGCGGGCCCTACAGAAGCCTATTTGTGAAGTCTGCCATTCAAAATTGTGAAAGAAAAAAAGCAAAGTACGGTTGACTTTATGCAACACGATTAGGTTCCGTGGGAGCTGAACTGAAACTTCAGGTCTAGTACCACAAACTGTGATTCTGGTCTGAATACAACCCAAAGCAACAAAAATAGTGCTGAAGAGGCTGTTATATGTAATGATTTATTATAGGAAATACAGTACTCCACAAAAGCTTCCATGACATGCAAGAGATCATCATCTGATTTAAGAAATTTAATGGCAAAAGAGCACGTTCTACAAAGCAGAACAACTTTCCTATCAATTCTGCAAAGGAAAAGATATTTTTACATCTTAAAATAGGTGGGTTCTTACCAGTGTAACCATCTTGTTTTTTATAAAAATACTGTGATATTTCATGTTAGGAGAAATACAGAAGGACTCTTAAGGTTATTAAAAGTGACACTAGATGTTTTTCCCATAAGAAGGGACCAAAGCTAAGCTGCCGTATGAACAACTGTTGTTCCGAAATCAAGGAGCACTTAATAAAAGAACTGTTCTTATATGACTTAATGTCAGCTTGGTTTAAAAAGCTCACAACGGCAACAATTTTCTGAAGATTCCCGTCCTAACCTGCACAAAACCTTTCCTAGATTTGATGCACAGCCAAATACAAAGCCAAAGCCATACAGTTTGGCCCATTTCCTTGGTGAGTATGTTATGTTCAAGGTAATGGAGTAAAATTTCAGTGAAGGTGAGTCAAAGCAAGGCAGTCTGTCAACAGGAGGACAACAGCTGATCATCTTCCAGATGACTTGGACAGAAGTAAGGGACAGCTAACTTCTTAAGGGCATGGTCAAAATTGAAAAAACATAGGTCGGATGTGAGCTTTGGCTGAATCAAAATGATCTTTCTGAGGACTCCAGTGTTGGTGTTTTGAACTAAAACGAATCTGAAAGAATCTTAATTTTGAAAACGTTCTGTGCTAATCCATTTAAAAAAAAAAAAAAAAAAAAAATAGTCTCTAACATCAGAAAGACCAGATGCCGCAGATACACGTCTCAGCTCCACTGGACTATTTAGATGAGCAAGGTTAAGCATGGAGATTAGTAGGCAGGAGGTGGGCGCTGAAGTGTGCAATCTCTGCAATTCTTCTACTAGTATAGTTCTAAAGACTAAGCAGCATTGTTTAATGTCAGCATGAGGGAGGATTTACTGACTGAAGCACCCGTCAGAATAAGGACCCACTGCAAGTCTGAAAGACTAAGGGACTGATATTCAGATGTATTTAGATGCCTTGCCATACACGGAGGCATCTGGCGAGACATTTTTAAGACTCCTGAATAAGCACCAATCTACATCTTTAAGCATCTCATCACCTTTAAAAAACTATCCCCAGGGTCTTCTGGGCCTT